CTGGGCTTAATCATGTGCCAGCAAGCGGTGAACTGAAAAATTAATGCATAAATTTCATCATAGTTGAAACGTTTCACTAATAAAAATTACGTCGAAATGCGACACTTCAAGATGTATGATTCAACGAATAAATCAATTAAGCAAAATTGCACAAATAATGAGATCCTCGCAAGACAAAATTGCCTCCGGCTTTAGGTCAGCCGGTATTGGGCCATAAACATGGTTTACATGTGTGACTATAAGACAATTACTGCGCAAGTAAAAACTTACATTACACAACTCAATCTATTACACTGGTACGTTGAGTGTACACTGCACGATGCGTTCTTAACCATCTGTATTCAAAATTTGTATAAGAAAAGTGTATTCTCAGCTTATTATATTAAAAATGAAAAGTTGAAATTCGCAATTCCTTACGACAGTAAAAATTTAAATCGCTCAATGGATCAGTTCGTTGCGCTGCCTGCAACTATTGTCTATAATTCCATCAAGATAATTTACCAGGCCAAAAATTATAGTCAAATTGACGAATGTAGTCTGAATGTAAGTGCAGGAATCTATGAGAGGCCTGCAAGGCATCAAAAATACCTCGGATCCTCTCCAGTGTGGCCAGAAATAACGAGTTCCACAAACCGAGGCTTCTGAGCGCACAATAACTGCGTGCGCACGACGAAATGCTAGGATACAAAAAGCACCACGCGGTGTTGCGTGCCCCACTCACATGAAGGTATAAGGTAACAGGGCATGACTCCTTCATAACGGTGACATCTAAAGCGTCAACTAATTGTAGTAAACTAATGTAACTGCCAGCAGTTCTAGTACATTAATTACATTTAATTGAAGTCTAGAGAAATATTGGACATACTATACTTAGCCCACCACTTTTTCGATGCATAAGATTCTCCTATACGTACAAATAACATTCATTTTCGTGCGTGCATTCGTTGCCACATTGGCAGCACTCATCGTTGCCAGCCAAGCCTGGGTTCGGAACACACGCAAAAATACAGTTCAGTAAACATCAAAAATATTTGTGCTTCATGTTAGTCGATCAAAGTTTAACCATTAATCTATGTGAGACAGCAGATAGCAGGAGCGTCGATTCATAGCCACTATCTTTAAAGGAGTGATGAAGCTACGATTCTATGAATGAGATCGATGAATTTATTTATCACTTATGAGCCTGATCCTGCTTATGTCTTCATTCGTAATGAAAGACAAACGTCATATAAATTTCTCAGAATAAATAGACCTTAAGTAAGTTTCCCTGAACAACTTCGCGCGAGCATCGGCGCGTCCACTGATCAAGAAAAAGTCCTAGTATATCATAGGAGTGGAGTATGGTATAGTGCATGGTTTAGTATTGTATGTTTGTTCCGGCCTTGAAGAAATGGCAAAGTTTTGCCAGTCGCTGATTCTTGTCTTGTCTCTACATAAATAAAAAGAAATGCCCCTCAGGGAGGCATTTCCTCACCTAGCGTAGAAGAGCACGTCCGGTTTGGAGATGTTTCTTCGATTTAGATTATTCGTAGATAAACGTGCCTGGATTGATTACAAATGCACACAATACCAAATAATGATTTTTTTTTTTGCAAAACTTTTAATGTCTGTGAATAGTCAACAACGTACGTATACGCCATGTTGGTGCACCTACACGCCATGTGGTGACAGCACCAACACGCCATGTTGCAACACACCTACACGCCATGTGGTGACATGTACACGCCATGTGGTGACATGTACACGCCATGTGGTGACAGCACCTACACGCCATGTGGTGACAGCACCTACACGCCATGTTGTGACACACTCCCAAGCCAGGTGGTGTGTGCAGCAAGCCACCTGCCATGAGCATGCAGCCACCATCTGAGGAGACAAGCGTTGGCAGGTGGCCAAGAAGCAGCAGCGTCTTGGCAGCGCTACGACATCGCTACGCTAGCAACAACCAAGCTAAAATTGTCCAGCACTGAGTCACGGCACCAAACTGTCGTTAACTCACGAGCACAGGACGGGACAGCTAAGATGGTCTACGAGTCAAGAAAACGAGAAGGTACGAGTAGTTATAGGCAGCGACTTCAAGTGATGAATGGACTAAAACTCGGTGCTGAACTCGCATCAACTGCAATATTAATGTCATACTTGCACTAAAAATGGTGATCGTAAGTGCTAAAGTTATTGATTGAATCATGAATAGAAATCTGATTTAATTAATTCCAATGTCGTTGTAGAAGATTGAAAAATATGTAATGATTGTCATTACATGAATATCATCAATTAAATTATGCCTCAGTATATATTTGAAAATTAATTTTGTATTTTTGACCGTCGTCAAAGTGTCCATGGATAATAAAAGCGAGGAAGCCACTACCATCGAAGTTATCGAATTTTTCATTGAGCGCTGCCATTGTGAGCTGAACAACAAGTTAGGATGGAACAAGTGGCTATGGGTAGCCATAAATGAGTAAATATTCGCTGCCCTCACAAGTGTCTTCTATTCTCCTATTCCTCGGTGACTGTGGTAGCAGACTTGAGAAAAAGGTCGCCACGTGATCCTTCTATCATTCCAACTCATGTCGTAATCAATTTATTCGCCATCTTCTCAAGGAAAACGGGTCTTATTCATTTTAATATATAAATCATTTATCAATATTACGCCGGTTACACCTATTGAATGTTATTAAGATTCAGTGATTAAACAAACTTCCTAATATCGAGTTTGGGACTCAGAGTGTTTGGGTGATCTTGATTTGTGGGCAACGAGTTAAGAGCTAAGGAATTAGAGTATCAAGGTAGCAGGAAGGATATAAGATGCACGAAGGATAACTCGTTTGTAGCGAGCTGGTAACCTCCACTCACAGCATCGCGTGCCAACTTCAGATTTCATAAGCAGACTAGAAATTTATTTGGAGAACAACGCTCGCGAAAAACAGTTTTAAAGCACATTATTGAGCTAAAATTATTCTATTAATTGAAGAATTCGAATGTTATTTCATGCAAAGAATTCATAGCCAGAGACAAAACCTAACGAAATTATTCGACTCCTTCAATTAGTGATTGCCAAGATATATCAACAAAATGTCTAATGTGATCATGAATGAAAACCATTAGAGAAAAGTCGTCATCCTTCAAATGTTTTTATCCGCACAGGAATGATAGAATACATTTTCATTGATCAATAGTAACAGTGCCACACAGTACACACGTTCACAACAGAACAGTAGGAGACTATCACACAAGCTTCATCGAAATAGTCCAAACTTTCTTGATAGCGAATAAGTTTGAAAAAATAAATCATAGAACGGAGACGATTACTGGTATACCAATGGTTTTCGCTGAGTAAAACTTGGCATTCGTAAGAGTAACTCAGTCTACTCATTAACGGAAATCTTTTTGTGGCCTTCAGAAATAGATTTTGAAGATAAATCAATCGCAGGCAGTTAACAGCAAACTATTTCTCGGTAAATATATATTGAATCATTCGCAGGTCCATTGCAAGACTCCCGAGGTCACAGCGTCTCTGGCCCGAGATCCCACACGTCTCTGGCCCGAGACCTCACACGTCTTGCAATATGAATCTTTAAAAGTGAGAAAATAAGGAAGTTTTTAGGACTCCCTCTCCTTCTTGACCTTGGGGTCGTCGTGGGGGGCGACAGGAGGGGGGATCTGAGATCCTAGGATCGTGGCGATCTCGTTCTGCATGAACGCCCACGGCACCGTGGACCCGTCTCTTATACACATCTAGATGTGTATAAGAGACNGATCAGAACAATTATAATACTGCAGTAAACCTGTAAATAAATATGAGTAGAGTTTTATTTACTGCAGTACATCTGGGCAGAGGGATCAGAACAATTATATTTACTGCAGTACATTTAGAAATAAATATGAGTATAGAGTTATATTTACTGTAGTACATTTGGACAGACGGATCAGTAAAATTATATCTAATGCAGTACACCAGGAAAGAAAGATGAGTACAGTTATATTTATTAAGTTTTTGCAGATAAATGAACTTCAAATAGAAATTTGTCACAGTTGCAGGGCGGTTTTGTTATCAACGGATCTCTCGTGAGCTCTGCAGCAATACATCAGAACGAGAGGCATCAAGACGCAAGGGGCATAATCTATTAAAAATTTTCAGCTTTATTTCAGGGTATAGGCTTAAAAATGCAGGAAAATTGCACAAAAATAAGGCATTTACGCTAAACAAGCGTCACCGGTCAGCTGCGTTATTCGTCCAGCTTAGGGAAAACCAGTTATTAAATGCCAAACGTCTCGCTTACAACCACCGCAGGTAAAGCTTCATGGAATAAATAATTAAATTGACCTTCGGTCAGAATAAAATAACAGTCAGCACCTTCTTTTACATTAAAATTCTAAACACAAATTTAACATAGATTGTTTTTTTATAACTCCTCATCATGGCGTCTACGATAGATAGACGCGATTACTTTCAACGCCTCAACATATATTACTTTTATGACTCCTCGTTAATATTTGAGTGAAAATTCAAGTGTGAATTGGTTCAAAAAAAATAAAAAAAAACAGCAAAGCATCCGGCCAGCTTGTCAATATCGGCCAGGATTTCCACAATTAGTTGTGGGTTCCGAACTCCCAACTTGCAGCTCTAATCCCGGAGAAGTTATCCACTCAGCAACCTGCAGCTGCAGGCAGGAAGCAGTAAATTCTATTTCGTATCCTCAACAAGAAGATATCCTCAGAGTTAATTAAGGTTTGAAGGAGAAATTGCCAAATGTTTAGGACATCGGGGAGCGTCGGCAACGATCATTTACGACTGGCGCCAATGTATTCAGATTTCAGATGAATTTTCAATCAATAGCGCATGACTATTGCAGTCCACTCTAAGTGGACTTAATTACTCTAAGTAAACTTAAATACAGATTCAACCAAAATCTTCCGAGAATGAGCCTCGCAGCACTATTTTTATTTATTAATAACCAAACACACTAGTATTTTGTCTACTAGCACGCACCACAACACTAGCAATTGTTGTTATTGCTGTTGTTATTTCCTGATGACCGTCTGCGTGGTTCGCCTGTTGAAAGTAAAACGAATTTTATGAGAAACTCGGTAATAGTCAAGGAAACTTTTATATTACTAAGTCCATTCGATACATACCAAATAAAATGAATAATTATGAGCTAAAATAGAGTACTAAGTAACTTAAAAAATGATTACTGAATGATTTTTGAACGTATTGAACTATAGAGAATAATTATGACATTGTTTACCACAAATGAGTTTAGGTCTTTTGAAAAAAATTATGTTATTTCGTTTTAAAAAGTTGAATATTTTGGCCTTTGAATGTGTTAAGCTTTCACAACTAGAAATAAAATAACATTGAAACTGGGAGGACATCTTGTTTATGAAATACTCGTATGATAGAACGCATTGAAAGTATGCTTGACGTAACAGAGGTACCGTCAATCTTGACCTGTTGTGTTGAACAATCGTACAATTATTTCTTAAGAACGAATTTAGACACAACTGTACATGTACTATCATTTGAACTTCACAACCAATGAAAATACCTGCAGGGCAGAAATTTTCATGAATATTCCGAAAATTTTGATAAATCCTTCGAAAAATAGCGTTATCTTCCTGCTGCTTAATTTAGAGAAACCCAAGCACAAGCAAACAGCAGACCGCGCTGGTGCAGAGCGCGCTGGTGCAGACCGCGCTGGTGCAGACCTGTCTCTTATACACATCTAGATGTGTATAAGAGACAGGGTCCATTGCAAGGGNGCAGAGCGCGCTGGTGCAGAGCGCGCTGGTACAGAGCGCGCTGGTGCAGAGCGCGCTGGTACAGAGCGCGCTGGTGCAGAGCGCGCTGGTGCAGACCGCGCTGGTGCAGAGCGCGCTTCGCAGTTCGCACCTAATGAAGCGTAGAGCGCCGTACGCGTGCCGCTCTAAAGTGCAAGCGAGCAAGTGCTATTCCCCTGGACTGTCAGAAGAATTTTTATTCCGTGAATAGATTTAGCAGCTTGTAGAAAGTGATGAAAAATTTTATGATAGGAGAAGCTTTGCGTCCACCTGAGCGGTCGTGTTAATAATCCTTATTGGTGGTACTGGGCAGCTGAGAGTCGTGAATAAATTCATAAATTTCTTTTACAAGCAGTAACAGAGTGGTCTGTTATTGCGTCTTTGTAAATCATTAGCCTGCTTTTGCAACGAATTGATGAGATCGAGTTCAAACAGACAATTTATGAGAATTTATTACAGTAAATTAAAAATAACGTATTAAATTTCAGAGAATATCTTTTATACGACGAGTTTGTGTTGATGCTCATGCAACAGAAGAAACATAAGTAAATAGATCCGATTTAAGAGAGTTCCGACGAATTATGGAGGCCCTTTATACATATAATTATATTACTAAAAAAACATGCATTTAAATTGAATATTTCCCATTCACAAATTTAAGTTATATTCTGCAATATCGTAAACAATTTTTTTACAATTTCTATCCACATCGTCCCAGTTGTTGGATGCCTATGTGTGACCTGCACCCTAGGCACATGTACATCAGTTCTGCTCAAGTTCTGCCATAAGTTAGTTCCTTTTGTCAGGTTATTTTTTTGTTGAATCGCGCTTGCTGGACTGCCGCTTGTCCCTGAATGACTTCCACCAACTAAAAGGTGAAAGTCATCAAATAAAATAAAAAGTAAAGTGTAGTAAACAATTAAACAAAATTATACGGAAATCGGACAGTGTCGCCTAGCACAGATTTACCATCGCGTATATCATAGGTTAAGAACCACTGAAAAACGAAATATAATGCTTGAGCAATTAAATATATATTAAAGGTAAAAAATGAAATTCAAGGGTGAGAAAATAGAATGCTAAAGAAAGGAAACGTAGAGATTACGCGCAAACAAGACGGAGCTCAAAGTAATATGGAGACTCAGTGAAGCTAACTTACATCACAATAACATTCCCGTGCACAATTAGGAAGTTGTTGTGTGGACAGGGCAGCCATTGAGTACAGTACAGCCTATTTGGGCCTTGAGTACAGTTATAATATATATAGATACAAATACTATGGAGTACCGCTCTATAGTTGTGTAGGCGCGCACGGTGCAAAACAATCATTCAATCCTGAATTTGCGCTACTGAACAACAAACAATTCTCGCCTGCATCCTGAAGCAGATCAAAGCGAGCTATAGGCGTTCGAACAAGAAGTTGGATTACAAATTAGTCTCTAAAAAGAAATAGTGAGGAACCTCGTGAGTAAACACGTTGAGGTTCGTCTGCTCTTTGGCACTACGGACACTACGGTGAATAGGAGCAGGTGCGTAGAGCGAACAGAACTTTAGGCTGAGCGTAATACTGGAGTAAAACTTGATGAATGACGCTTTAAGTCTGGGCGCTGTTCGGTGAGATAGAACAATATGTCCGTCATTCTCTATAGCAGCTGTAATATTTGTTCAAGTTATGCGGTCTTCTACTTTCTCCGTTCATTTTTCCGAAGGTTCCGCTCATTTTCTCCCTCATGAATACAACCCAAAAAATGGGTTTCCCATTCCGCTCCCGACACATAATTCCTAAATAGAATGTAAAGCATCTCTATAGTTCACCCGTAGGTTGAAGTGTACCAGCACTCATGCAGGCGAAGATAATACGAAGGACTTCACAAATCAATACCGCACATGTAACTCAGGATCAATCGCGCAAGAACAATGCATTACTTTTATAATAATGAAAAGAACAGTTGTACGAATAATACAACTGCCAGGACGAATGCCGCTGCATTACTGGCGTCTCGTGCAGCTGCGGTGGGGGCGGCTTACGGGTCACCGTGAGTGTCCTGAACTGCGTTCCAGTGTTGCTAGCGACGTGGTAAATCAGGGTAAAGTGCAGCCTGCGATGAAGGAAAGGATGGTGGTCGCTGGTTCTATCATAGACGCACGGCTCACTCTCACCCGTCAATATGACAATAATAAAACGTTTGGCGCGGCCACCAAATAAAGGTTGTCAAATTAAGTAGAAAAGAAAGCGGGAGCGCAGCAAGCAAGGACAAACGAGCTTGCTGAGCAAATCCTTCACTTAGATCCGCTCCAACATCACATTCCGGGTCATAATATTGGCTCCAAAGGCTGGTGACAGAAGGATGGGTTAGGACGGGTGGCGGAAAGTGAAGGGTTAAGAGAAGGGGCTGGAGGTGAGGCTGAGGAAGGTGGGGAGAGGCTGAGGAGGAAGGTGGGGAGAGAGGCTGAGGAAGCAGGTGGGGAGAGAGGCTGAGGAAGGAGGTGGGGAGAGAGGCTGAGGAAGCAGGTGGGGAGAGAGGCTGAGGAATAAGGTAGGCAAGCGAGGGAGATGTGTTAAAGATGAAGCGAGGATGTGAGCACTGAAGAAGAGTGAAGAGCACGTAGGAGGGGTGAGGAGTGTGTAGGAGTGATGGGTATGTAGGGTTAGGGGCACGTAGGAGGGGTGAGGAGTGTGTAGGAGTAGTGATGGGCATGTGGGGGTTAGGGCCACGTAGGAGGGATAACCAGCGGAAGCGATCAATATTGAAGCTAAAACTGTCAAGGGAGAGGAAGTGCCCGAGCAAGGCGGAGGGAAAGGGAGGGAGGCAGGAGGGTGGTAAAAGAGATACAAGAGATAAGAAAACAATGAGAAGCGAGAGGAAGGATGGGACACCGTGAGTGGTGAACCACATGCGGATGACAGCGTGCAGACCGCTTGTGGAGGACCACGCGCGGCACAAGCGATTTTTCCGAAGCGGGCGTCGCGTGTGCGCATTCCGAACATCGCGTGCGCGCTGACACTGTCCCAATATAGCGTGCGTTATATACAACATATCAAATATAAAAATTTTAAAATACCACATCAATCAGTGCGTCAGTGCGTTACATTACACCATAAAGTAGCCCAGGTTATTGAGATGAGGTTCGACACGTCGCGTTCACCTCGTGGTATGAGATCAGGAAGCTCGGCAAGTCTCTCCTCCTTGCGCTGACTCAGCACAAAGTTTTACTGTCGCACAAAATGCTTGCATGCTGTAGTTGATATCAGGTGCGGGAGGTCATAGAAATATGCAGGGCATCCGGGACTTGAAGCCGAGACTAGAGTCCGGGATAATAATTAATTTAATCTCAAGTCTCTCCTCCTTGCGCTGACTCAGCACAAAGTTTCACTGTCGCACAAAATGCTTGCATGCTGCAGTAATATCAAGTGCGGGAGGTCATACAAATATGCTGGACATCCGGGACTTAAAGCCGCGACAAGAGTCCAGTAGTATAATTATTGATTTAATCTTAACTTCAGAAATGGTGGTTCCGGAGAGACATTTTAACGTACGTAAACAACTCATAAATGCAAGTGCTTATGCGAACGGTATAGTTCGAACTGTTTACGAAGAGGCCTGCGCCGAACTGCCTTGGTCACGACGAGAGTAGCTATAGCGAACAGGGTAATAACAAGAAGTGTATCGAATCCCAAAAACATGCACGCGGAATCCATTTTAGCATCGATAAATCAAGACAGTCGAAGTCAGCACGTGTTTTAGACCCAATCTGTTGCAAAATTCGTTGAAACCATCAACGACTGGAAAAATCTCCAATATTTGTCATCGGAATAAAAAAATATTTTAACACTCAAATGCAATTTCCGCGATTGAAATTCATGACGCATTTCGCCGCAATTAAACATAAATTATTTACATGGAAATGAATGCTACAGCTGAGAAGTTATAGAGAATTAAATCATAATGGAAAGAGGCGATTAACGACTTTTATGTTAAATAATTATTATGACACACCATCGCCGAAAAGAGCGGAATGTGTTCTGCCGCATACCGAACATAATCCTATTACTTCACTATGCAGTCAACGTACATTATGCAGATCAATGACTCAGCTATCACATTTAGGAAGGATTTGACATTTTGTTGCAAAATTTGATCCGTAATTAAAGACAGTAATTTTATGAACCTAAATGCTGGAAAGTAAGATAATGGGAAATAACCAGATGAAAACAGACCAAAAAAAATGGAAGCCGTTATGGGAATTGACAGTTCTTTAATAGCATTATTA